CGCGAAGTTTCTACACCACCAACATCGCCGAACAACCCGCCTGAAACTTCCAACGAATCGCGGCACTCACCTTGTGAACTATCAACGCCGCCCACGGTGCTAACGGAGCTATGCGTGACCTCTAGCACACCGCGCGATCCAAAATCACCGACAAGGCTGATAGAGCCAGAGATCCAACAGCGCGAAAGTGATCAGCGTCGGGCCGCAGACGCTCAAAGCGACAAGCGTGCCCAACCCATCATCATCCTTTCGCCTGACCATAGTAGAGTTGATGATTCTATCGAGGTGCCTGTGGACGACTTGGGTCCGCGACCGACGTACAATGAGACCCTTGAAGCAAAATTTGACAGACTCATCAAACATGTCAATGGATTCATCAAGCCGCTTCAGGTTTCAGAGGCGACTATCGAACGTTTCCGCCCGAGTCAGAAACTGGATGACGACGGCATCTTATTGGTGCTGGGTAAGATTCTTCCCAAGTCATCTGAGGCGTTGATAGCAACCTTTGCGATTCAAAATCCGCCAAAGAGTCTTTGCCACCGGTACACTGAGAGCGACGTCTCTTCGTCCATGCCTCCGCTTTTGAGACATAACACGGAATCTACCCACCTGTTTATTGCTTGTAACGTCAATTCTACTTCTCTGGAGAGCATTTGGGGAGGGTCTTGCAACCATTGGATTCTCGTCGTCGTCGATCTCCAAAAGAATCAGAAGGTCTATGTTTTTGGCAACGAAGGAGGGCACGGGGCTGAAGCCGAGGTTTTGGCCTACAATATCGGCCTGTTCGTGAACAACTATCGGAGATCCGAAGGTGTTGATCCAATCTCGTGGTCGAATCCAGAAATCTATCCTGTAAGATGCGACATCCCTGAGTATTTCGTATTGGCTAAGTCCTACCTAGTTGTATCCAACCGGCAAGATTCCAGACAGCTATAACTGCGGTGTGGCCGTAATATCACGTGCCGAGGCGTTTCTATACCCCAAAAAGGCCTTGAAAGTATCTACCGAAACCAGCATCGCCGAACTCAGCAGCCAACTGGACAGATTGCGGGTCGTCTATCTCGAGTCCATCTCTCAATCATGCGACAATGCAGCAGAGGATGCCAAAGAAGAACTTCATCTTCTGCAAGGATCAAGGAAGAGAAAGCAGCTATCTGCTTCAACGGGAAAGCCCGTCAAGGTTAAGGTACCTTCGAAGAAGCTCAAGAAATCAAATCTTTCGTCGCTTCCTCCAGCTGTACTGGGCGCTCAACCACAAACTCAACAATGGGAAAGATGCCTTCGCCTCGCCGCCGAGCAGAGCGGCTTCTCCGGGCCGGGAATTGTTGAGGCTTTTCGGAATGCACCTGAGAATCAGCCCATACACAAGATCGTCGAGGTCCTCCAATTGATCTGTGAAGTTGCCAACGCAGAAACCCTTATTCAGCTCAAGAGTGTCCTCTGCGAGCCAACAGTCCTCGAAAAAGGATTTGATGAGGATATCGGAAAGGTGATAAACCTTCACCATCTCATCATGGAATATGGTGATGAGTCTTTTATTGCAAGGTTCCGAAGGTTTGAGTGTCAGGTCCTCTACTTTGAATGGTTTGAGTCCCAGAGACTTTCGAAGAGGAACAGGATGAAGGAGGAAAAAAACAGGAGAGACAACGTGATCAAATTCAAAAAAAGACACGGTGTAGAGGACGACATCCAAGAAGACCGCAAAGTTGACAATAGAGACGCACAACGCCATTTGAAAGACGAAATCATCGAAAAGATTGCGGCTCATGGAAACAAAGATGAAAGCAGGGTCCGTCAAGAGCTCAACACCAACTATAAGGAAGGGCGGATTTTGCACGCATTTCTCAGCCCACAGGACAGCCGATCTGCAAGACGCCATGTGAGGTTCCTCTCATTACTTCCTCTGTACAAGAAGTGGACTCGACCACCAGTCCTGAATGTAATGGCCCATGACCCACCAGAGACGCATGGGATTCTGGAAAAGAAAATTGGAGGCAAGAAGTACTTACCCTCAACCTCTTCAATACAAACGTCGCTGACACTTCTCAGAGTTCTTGATCTCAATCAGCAGCTCGCAGACTACTTCGGAAGAGCCCTGTTCATCGCCCGGCCTGAGCTTCAGGAGATAGAATCATGCTATCTGCCTAGAGGGAGTGACGCAGCGCTGCCTGAGACTGTTCGCCTAATGTCGGAAGAAGACGATTCGATTAGGAGGATCAAACCAGCGGACATTGCATGGCTATTCAAGTCAGACGATACCGCTGGATAGCACCAGGAGAGGTTAGCTTGTGGAGGAGGAGGCGTGGATGTCGCGACGGGGCGAAGGGCAGAGCTAAAGTGAAGCCAGCACCAGAGGCAAGAACAAGTGGTGGAAGCGATCGCCAACCGGGGGGGGGCGGTTGGCTTGCGTGAAAGGGGTCGAGGTCACCAAGAAATCTATTGTACGCTGCAGTTTGTAAATATACTGATTTCCTGGCTCGGGATGCCACGGTTCTTAGAATAAGGCCGTGTTCATAGTTGCTAAGATCCCCTTTGGATGGAGTAAGTTGATTATCTTTAGGATGGCACCCAGGAACGAAACTCTGGCTTTTCCGACTGCGCTGAAGCGAAGGTTCGGCTAAAATGACCTAGGTCTTCTCTCCTATAAACTGGGGATCCTTGTCGATGTCTGCCAAGCCTTCTGCGGCACAGTGAAAAAGAAAGGAGAAAGGGAAGGAATGAACGAGAAGAGGCAACGGGCGCTTAAAGTGGGGTGGACGATCGCTGGAACCTTAAAGGAAGCATTGCGGCACAGTCGAGAGGCGCCTGGCGCCTAGTGCTTTTTCGAAATATCGGTTATCCCCCACACTACTTTAACCGCCCGTCGCCTCTTCTCTTTCCTCTCCCATTCTTTTAGTACCTCCTACTGAGAGCATAGCACGATCACGAACAACCTTCTTTCTACTCCTCTACTCAGCGAATATGCAGCCAGTAGTAAAGCAGCTCAACACAAAGGGCTCCCAGACATCATCCCTACCCTTGGAGCTAGAGTTGCAATTCCTTCGAGACATCGTGCAGTCTAAGATTATAGAGCTCTTCCGCACTCACGCGCATTGTACCGGTTTAGTCCGTGGTGAGCTTAGGGAATTCTTTAGGGAGCTGGATGCATACGTTGATGCAGCCCATTCTCTGAGTACCAAACCTGAGGCTGCTTTACCTTCTCCAACTGATATACGTGAACCTGTCCCACTATCCGGAGCCAACGGCCGACTGTCAGCTGGCTCCGGATACTACCAAGTTGTGAACTCTGGTCCTAATCTTGCCATGCCTGCAAACTTTGTGGAGTCCGAATGGACCGGGCCGCCTGGAAACTATCGATTTTGCAGAAGAGAGAAGTGCGGCCCACATTCAATCGCACTCACCCAACCTCAAATTCAGCAGCCAAGCTGTGATTCTGAGCATGAAGCAACAGAGGTGACTGACGGATCACCAAGTTCAATCCAAAAACAAGGCCTAGATCCAGCCTCCGAAGAGGTGGATGATGCCATCAATTTGTTCCTAGACGGCATGCCGAAAGATCCACTCAGCGGGCCAGAACCATCTCCAGACGAGCAATTCCCTGGAGCACCGGACGGCCACTCCGTTCACGCACAGACGCCATCAGGATTTCCCAGAAGCCCTAGTGCGTCAAACGACAGTTCCTCCGATACGCGGACACCATCGGATGCGCCAGAAGCCCTCAGAAGCTCAAACAACGAGCCTTGTGGAATTCCAACGCCACCAACTGTCTTTACAGAACCAGAAGCTCAACACGAAAGCAAGGCCGGTCTTGGAAACGCTTGTGATGCCGTAACCACAGGCCCTATCATCCTGCCTTCGGATGACGAAGATGACATGGCAGATGCTATCGAGCTAGCGACAGATGAGTCATGTCCAGGAATCAGGATCGGAGAGGCTGTGGAAACGAGATTGAACCGCGTGATTGAGCAGCTTCTTCCATTCGCCGAAGGCCTCGGAATCTCAAGGGAAATCGTCGATCGTTTCCGTCTGGATACGAAACTCAACGATGACGCCATCACCTTGACGCTGAAAAAAAATCTTACCCGAGAGAGTGGACGTTCTGGTAGCATCTCATGCGATCAAAAACCCTCCCGGCCCAGGCACCTCTTTCCGCCATGTTGTAGGCATTTCACCATCTGTGCCATCGACTCTGTCCCACAAACTGGGATCTAGTCACCTGTGTATTGTTTGCAACGTCGAGTCTAGTTCTCTGGAATGCGTCTGGAAAGGTTCTGGAGACCACTGGATCCTCGCTGTCGTTGACTTTTCTGGCAAGCAAGTCCACATCTATGGTAATGAAGGGAGGCACGACGAAAGTGCCAAAGCAATGGCATGCAACATCGGTGATTTTGTGAACAATCACAGGATAGCCAAGGGGCTTTCCGCGGTTTGCTGGAAGAACCCTAAAACACATCCGGTAAAACACTAATAGTGCCTGTTACGTCTATTGTATTGCTAACAGGTGTTTAGTTGTACCCTACAGGCAGCTTCCCAGATTGCCACAATTGCGGAATTGCCGTGATATCGCGAGCTGAGGCATTCGTATATCCAGAAAGAGCCTTAAAAATGCCCAATAACACCAGCGCCCCGGAACTCAGCAAGCAGCTGAACGAACTGCGGGGAGTCTACCTCGAGTTGATCTTTCAGCTATGCCAACGTGTGAAGGATGACGAAACCGAAAGACTTTTTCTTAGCCCGGTCTCGAAATGCAAAAAGAGGGCATCTCCATTTCCAGACACAACCCCAACCAAGGTCATTGTCATGGGGGAGCATCTCAGGCGAAGAGCCACGTCTCCCTCTCCACTGGTATCGACAGTCCCGCAGCCAGAAGCTCAAAAGTGGGAAGCTTGTCTCCTTCGTGCTGCAGAGAGTAGGGGCTTCCACGGTCAAGGAATACTCAAGGCTTTCAGAAATGCGCCAGCAAGCCAATCCACCTTCAAGACAATGAGGATCTTGCAGTACATTTGTGAAGTTGCCAACACAGAACTACTACGCAAAATCAGGGATATCATCCACGAGCCAAGAAAAGTCAAAGAGTCTGCAGCTCACACGGATCGAGTTATCAACCTCTACGTTCGGATCAGAAAGTTCGACAAAATCTCCATCTTGGCGCAGTCAGCCAAATACAAATGCCAGCTGCTCTATTACGAGAATTTTGAGACGGACGTATCTTCCAAGAAGGCTCAGATGCAGGCCGAGAAACAGAAGTACGATGTCAAAAGAATGGCCAACCGGAGGAGAGGCTTGCCATTACCGGTTCGGGGCGAAGAAAGCGGGAAAAGTGGGCAGAGTGCCGATGCCTCCGTGAGGGACGAGTATACTGACAAGATCGCATCCCAGACGGGTTTGAATAGAGTCACTGTGCGGACTGAGCTCAACCAGAATCTAAGGAAGGTAGAATACTGAGCCATCTTCTCGGTCTGCGGTGCGGGCGTGGAGATCGACGGAAATTGAGTTTTATACTATTGCTCCCTTTGTACGAAGCGGCAAATCCGTCGCCAGCCCTCGATATCATGGCTCACCATCCACCAGAGCAAGTTCGATGCTTTTCGAGAAGCTTTTCAAGTAGAGAGTATGTCCTCCCAAGCCTTTAGTTTGAATTGTACTAAGCGTTCTAGAATGTTAGATCTCAGCGAAGAGTCTGCACGGTATTTTACAATGTCACTCTTTACTGCACGCCCTGAGCTTGCAGAGATTGATTCATACCTTCCTGGAGCGGACTTCACGTGTGAGCAGCTTCAGAATACTATATTGGATGATCCTGTTGATCTCATCCCGCCGAAGTCCACCTGTCTAGCGAGAGCAAGCGACGAGCAAATCAGAGAGACGAAACCAAAAGACATCGCTAGGCTGTTTCAGCTAGACTACCCTGGGAAATTACAATTGGAACTCGGAGAAGGGTAGAAATTTTCTGTATATAGTCTGGAAAGTGCATATAACTAGGGTAAATCAATTTGATTCATTCAACACGGTAGGTCTCGCAGTTAATGGATTAGCTTTATAGGAGGCTATCTCTGCTAAGGTATTCTATCTACAAACAAAACAATCATCATATCAGTTTAAGAGCCCGTCTGATGACGCCTGGACTCTGCTCGGACTCATTCCTCCGGTGAAGGCAGTAAGATTCTATTCGAAGCAAAGTAATCATGAATTTTGCGTATCCAATCCGACTGGACTGAGCAGCACTCCTGAGTCTTCTCAATGCTTAGGAGCCCGACTTGCTGTTCACGTGAGTGAATTAGGTTCCAAAGCTTGGCTTCCTCATTGACGTCTGCTATTTGTTCAATCTCCATGCTCGATGGGTTGGAACCCTGTAGCGACGTTCTGTAGATCCAGGACAACGCATCTTCTGCTTCTTTATAAATATAGCGGAGGACCTGCAATTCAGGAAAAGCTAAATGATGGTCTTCAAGGAGTTGTTTTAGGAAATCGTCGCGAACTTTCTGTTCTGTTACTCGAATCCCATCTAGGATAACCAAGTCTTGCGGATGAAGTCGGTAGTCTAGATCAAGCTCTTGCCGACAATTTGGACAACTTCTATTCATCCCTATTTTCACCCACTTCTCAATGCAGTACCTGTGGAACTGGTGCCCAGCTTCACACGAAAATAGTGGTATTTCAAGTGGCCTGAAACAGATGGGACAGTTCTCAACCTCATCATCTGGGCGAGCATCGACGTTTAAGTTTTGCCCAAATGGTGTTGTGGTTGATGCAGTAGCTGACAAGGTCTGTCTGTTGGTCTGACTGGTTGAGGTGACGGGTGCAATCTCCAGCGTCTGAAGTGGCTCGATCAGCGGCTGGACCGTCTCTTCAAGCGACGAAAAATTCGACGTATGTCTATCCGCACTTACGTCAGGAATGCTCGCAGCTCTGCGTGAGGCTGAGATGGCATTAGCCTGATGGAAGCTGGGTGGATCTCTGACCCGACGTGAGGCTGATTGATTGCTACTAGGATGCAAGCGTGTTTCCCCAATGCCACGATGGTAATAGCAGCACCTCGCGCTGCTTCGAAGGATATACGACCGCAAGCAATCCATATGGTAACATGATCCGCAACAGTCGAAAGTAGTGTAACCCTGGGCGCGAGAAACATTTCTTCTGCAGCCGACACAGGTTGATCGTGTATCTGATTGTGCGAAGTATATTGTGAATCGGGTAAGAGTATCAAACTCTACTTCCGACATCATCCAAATCCTATAGGACGTTGCGACCCTCGTTAACCTAGCGGGAGCTCGGCAATCTATGCATTTAGAACCGCTCGCCTCTAAGAACGCTCTTAAACAATCTAAGTGGCATCGATGATGGCAGTGATCAGTTAGACTAACATGGATTTCATCGCCTCTGATCCAAGCGCCACAATGGACGCATAGCCGCATAGGTGGGAATCCGTTTTGTTGAGAAAACCCGGTGACAGTATCGTAGTATACGACCACTGGTGTGCGATAGGGAGTAATAGTAGACATTGCGGGAAAACTCTCTGACAGACAAAGGGGTGTATTCTGGGGAGAGAAGCTAGTCGGACAACGACGTTTCTTATAGAAATCTCTCAAACTATCCTTTAGAAGTTCTAAACAAAATGTTCGCCATCGGTATATAGCTTAAATCTTTCTCGATCTAAGTATAAATCTTTATATAGAGCTTCTTCAATCGTAACCGTACTGCCCGAGTTGACTTAAGCTAATAATAGATATAATAAATACCTTATCTAAATGTGTGAGGGATTGTAGTTAGAGGAAGCCTCAATCACTATAACGAAGACGATCGGTGTTGTGACAAATTATAATGGGCGCTTAAGGCCTAAAAATATATCCTTGGCGGATAGTGCCGTTGCTGACCTAGTCTAGAGTAGAAATTAGGATATAAGTCACACAAACGAGAAGTTGGGCGAAATACGCCGAAGATGAGCTTCAAATCTGTCGTTCGCATCAGGGAGCTGTACCACCATATAGCGGTCTACTTATCCAGTACGGATGCATACAGTCTCTCTCAAGCAATCGACCAACCCTTCGAGGGCTACGAGAAGCACCTCCTACAGCCATGGAGAGACTGCTTTACCAACTTGGACTGGACCAACGCTCTCATAAAAATTCTAGAGGTGGCGGGACTTAACGCAGAGGTGCTCGTGGTAGGACCTTACATAGTCTTGCCTCAGTCTCTCTCATGCACATACGACTACTCGGTGCTTCGGAAAGAGCTTGGACGACTCAAAATGCCGTATCTAAACATACATGTGGTTCTTAACAATCCACCGCCTCTATCTTTCAGGAGCCTATGGGCCCTTAAGCGACAGCTGCGGTGGCTGATGTACCATCTTAATTGCATAGATACCTCTCTTGGCACGGGAAACTTCACCCTTGAGGTTATCCAATCCACCAATTGCGCACCTCTGATCAGATACTGCGCTCCTATGCGAGGCACAGGCACACGTCATACTAGTAAAGCCTCTTCGAACTTTAAAGAGGATTTCGATCGAGGTAGCCTTCTCGTCGCTATCTCCGTCCCACCACACAATCATAAAGGGATGAGTCTGAATCGCGGAAAACCATCCAAGGCGCGGCAAGCACAGTTGAACATATTGGCCAGCTTTAACCTTCCACGGCCGTTTTGGGGTGATCCTTGCAGAGATAGCACCGGCATGGTGGCGGATTTCCCCTGTTGCTCTCCGCCCACTCCAGCCGGTGTTGCGATAGAGGAACAACAAGAGCTGTAGAACCAAGCCTCCAGCGAAGATTCCAATAGATAGCAGAAAATAGAGGAATTCCATCCTGTCGCCCCCACTCGTATGCCTCCAGATTACATACGTGGCGAAGACAGACAAAAGGACGTGAGACTTCACGAAGATCTCGTAGAAAAATCGTCGAAATACGGGAAAGATTGTTAGGGCGGCGATAGCGACGGCAGCCTGGCTAGGTTAGTAGCTGCCTCTGCTAGTCGTAGGTAGCGTACAAGAAGACCGAATAACTGTTTCCCTTTCTTGACCGAAAACTTTCCGTCCGCTAAAGAGATTCCAACATAAAGGCTAAATTGGACGGTAGTCATCACTGCTAAAGCCCTGTGGGCTTGCTTGAAGGATTTTAGGGAAAGTCCGAGCAGGTTAGCCGCGAATCCAAGGTTGCTGGAAAATACAAGAGGCCCAAAGTTCAATAGCGCCAGCTTTCCTACTCGTAGGCCTATCTCCCTTCGACTAGGAAACCCCCATAGGTTACAAGTAGCAGTTCCTGCCCAAAAAATCATGTGAGAGAGGAAGCTGAGCCATGAGATTGGACCAATCAATGAATGTCGTTTTATAAACTGACGTAGGATGAGTTGCCGCAGCACGTAAAACCTCACTATTCGATATATTTTCCTTACTATGGGTCTCAAGCCAAGGTAGAACCGGAAGGTCATAGTGATGAAGAAGAGGGTGGCAAAACTGCCGAGCAAGGCAAAGCAGTAGATGTAAGATGAATCCATGTTATCTCTTAATTGGGTGTCGAGAGAGCTTCATCCGTCTCGAACGTACCCTTATAAACGAGTCTGACTGATTTGTGAGCCCTATTTATAGAATCTCACACCGGTGCTGCTGAAGCGCCCAATAAACCCATTTCTAAATTTAGGCTCGCATGTAGTATTTATGAGATTGAGGTCGTGTGCAGCAGTGGAGCGGACAGACATGGCGAACATCCGGCTAGACGTTAATACTCAGTCTGAGCGAGCCTCCTTCAGGAAGCGGACCGCAACCATGGTCAAAAAGGCCAAAGAGTTAAGCGAGCGCTGTAGAGCAGATTTTTGCATCCTCATCAGGCATGAGGGGAAGTTGCACGCCTTTTCGTCCAAAAATCTATGCGCATGGCCGCTTGACCTTAACAACGTAAGAACATCCTCCTGATCCACAAATAACACGCTGAACGATACAGGCAGGAGAGGATGTTCTGCCGATCACGTACCTACGTGCAAGACGCACGAGAAGTGACAAAGGTCGAAAAAGGCAAAAAGGCTCTGTTTCACAGTGCAAGGCTAAAGTAAGGGCGGCGAAGCTTAAACCACCACCAGTGCTTTCACCAGCTGTAGAGAGGGGAGGATGTAGAGGCGAGTCGGCTACTCATGGCTTATAATAGTTGTGTCGCCGATCATCTCCCTAGAAAGCGGTCTTATAGATCTTCAATCGACCTATAGCAAACCCTTTGTCTTCTGATCGATTTTCATGTAGATGTCTATGGCATCCGTTCCATCAATCCTTGATCCATGACGCACAACAGTTTTTAGTAAATTTACATTATCACTACTTGTGCTGACTACCAAAATATCCGCACTTGTTTGCATTTAATATACAAGATCCACTCTCTAGAACTAGCTAGTCTTCATCAATGAAACTAAAGCGTTTATTTGGTGGGAAACCCCTCTGTTCTCAGGCTTCTCTTACACAG